ACCACACAACAGGCCTGAGTGATGAGCCCAACCAGGAGGATTCACCACTGTGGAGAAGGTGTAAGACAGGACGGTCTTGGGTCTCCGCCGACACTCCTGCGTCGCAGTGACCCTGGTCATGGAACCTGCCTTACAGTCATCTAAGGAGACGACAGCCCAAGCTGAGTGGACCGGCTTTCATCGCGCGGCCGGAGGCCGACAGGCAGATGAACAGAAAATCGTCTGAAATATGTTGAAAATTATGATGTTGCAGAAAAGAAATACAGATGGAGCAAGAAAAATTCATCAGGAATATGACGGAAAACGAAGATGTATAAAAAAGCATGAGCGAACAGAAAAATTGTCTGGAATATATGAAAATGAAAGATGTATAAAAAACATAAGATGAACAGAAAAATTCATCTGAAATATGAAAAATACTCTAGCGTGGAGGCGCGGTGAACAGAAAAATCATCTGGAATATTATAGAAACCAGGAGGTAGAAAGAAGTCAGATCATGGTGACGACTTACATTGTGCGGTATTGAAGAAGAAGGAAAAAACGTGCTATGTGAAGACGAAGACGTCCTGTGCTGAAGAGCATCAGAAAAAAAGATCAGCGATGAAAAGGTGGATAATCTGAAGGACGATATTTCATTTGTGCTGCTATTTTGGTACAGCTGGATGGAGGACTTGAGCCATGCTGGACCCAACAAATGTACTGATGTTGTTGATGTTGTTGATGTGTAATAAAAAGATACAACACCCTAACATGTGAAGTAGGAGCATTTTTTTTATGTATTTTGAAGTATTTCATTCTCTGATTTTTGTTAACATGTACTACAAAGAATGTTTTTTTTAAAGATTAGTCACTTTTTCTATGAGTTCATTTGATCAATGTTTTGTATTACCAAATGCAATGTTGTAGACATACTACTGAGTGGGACGAATTATTATTTTGACACGGCCTGGTTAGGCAATGTAACACCTGTTTTTGTTTGTAGAATGTGATTTGCAAGTTTGCCTCGGACACTATGCTAGATATGAAGGATCTTTAGATCACTCTATGTTCACTTACTGTGTATGTATTTTATTTTTTTCTCCTGTCATAGAAGATTTAATCTTGGCGGGAGGTATAGTAAGCTTTGTCAGATCAAACTATGCCAGTAGAAAAACATACATCTCTAGTGTTATAATTTGTAAAATGTAAGGATGCATTATCGCCTCAGGGACTATATTAGATACTGCACATGATGTTACTGTCTACTTTAAATGTGTCATCAGTTCTCTGAGCATGAAAGCTTTGGTCTTGGCGGGAGGTGTAGTGATGGGTTGTCAGACCGCAGCTTGCATCTCAGAGACAGTCCAGACTTGACCCGACATTAGGGAGGTCAAGTGTAGGGTAACTCTCACGGTTGACCAAGGGTTATAAATCAGCCAGGCTCCCCTCCCATGTGACACGGCACCACAACAAACATGTAAGAAGGCACCAGCCGACTCTCTCCCAATATACAATAACCTACATCGCTGAAGAAGTCCAGGCTTGACCCGACATTAGGGAGGTCAAGTGTAGGGTAACTCTCACGGCTGACCAAGGGTTATAAATCAGCCGGGCTCACCTCTCATGTCACGGCCCCATCTGATGACTTTCCAGAAGATACAACTTATAGTCTCTGAAAAAGTCCAGACCTGACCCTACATTAGCGAGGGCAAATGTAAGGAGACCCTTCGCCGCCCCCCGATCAGCTCAACCTGACGGCTGGTCTTCCAATATATAGGACGTCCGAGCCCTCCCTCAGAAGTGTGTCTTGTGACCAGGAAGGGCCAGCTACCACGTCCCCAGTCCCGCTCGAGAGAAGCCCGCCACTAAGTGTAACGAAGTCTCAGCCGGGTCCATCGACAGAGTGCTGTCAACTCCACGTGTAACAGTAAGTGCTGGCTGTGTAGACTGTAGAAGTGCAGTGATCCCGAACCTCCCCAACGATCGACTTAGTGAAGTGCCCATTCTAATTGTGAGGTTAGGTTATACGAGAATACCATAGTCTATCATAAATTGTGTACGAACCCCCCATTAATCCCCCTATTGAACTAGTAAAATAAAGCTGTAACACGCATTGGTGTTTTATATACTACACTTGTACTGTGCCTGTGTTAATATACAGTGTTGACATCACACCCTCGAGACACGCTACCATTTCCTCTCGCTATAATACTCTACTACTATAAACTCCTAACTTACCTCTTCATGTGAGATTTTGTCTCATTACAATATCAATAGGGCGCATCACCTTGTGTTGCCAGAATTGCCACGTTTCTCGGCCACCAGTTACGCCATATCCACCCAAAACATAGATCTTTTTATTTTAAGTATGGTAGTTATTTAATTTCGGATAAAATAAATGTATGCATCCCATTAAAAGAAATGGCCGATTTTTTACTATGAGTGCCAGCCGTGAAGGGTGTCACACAGCTGGCAACCCTGCTATTCCACACGTGTGGATCAGCAGTCTGTGATGCCAGGTCACAGGTCAGTGGTTAGTTACCATCAAGAAGTGGAACAGAGAGCATCATACGGGTATCTGCGTGTTTGTCATTTGGGACCCCATCCCAACCCACTGATCTCAAAATGTAAGTACTAATAATCTTAAAGGCCGGTTCACACTATTCCTGTGTAAATTTGAAAAACAAAAAATTATTGTGGACCGGCCTTAACATTCCAATTTTTATCCTGTTTGTAATATAATTTTATATGTTATAATAACCTCCTTATCCTAACATTAGTTACTCTATTAATGTTATTACTAAGAACATTTTAATACTGCTCCTATTGCATGCCGATGTACGTTGGTTATCGAGGGGAAAAGTTCTGTCAAGAGTGTTTGAGCTACGAAACGAACTTGCCGAGTTTCTTCAGGACAAAAAACCAAATAGGTCACAATTGTTCCGAGAAGTGGATTGGCTAGCCAAGCTGGCTTATTTGGCTGATATCTTTGCCATCTTTAATGATCTCAACACCTCCATGCAGGGAAGGATGGCATCGTGTTTTACAATGGCAGACAAGATCGACGGGCAAAAACGGAAGCTAGAAGCATGGAAGAGTCGAGTGTCAAGAGATTGTTATGA